CGTATGGGCAGTTCCTTTTACCAAAAGTCGACGTGCCAACCATCTGCCTTCAAAACCTTACTGGAGATTTAGACTCAGAAGGAACCTCAGCTAATGCGATGGCAAATAGAGTTTCGACTCATGTTCATCATACCGACAAGTTGTCTACTATAAAAGCAAGCAAAATCCAATTAAAAGAGGTTTTGTACTGTCGGCCCCTCTCTTTACAAAATTACCCTTGAAGCAGAATCGGAGCAAGATCACAAGTGGTTCAACCCCCTTTTGAGCATCAGATGCCTGCAAAGGGTATTTTTTCATGACAATGTAAAATACAGAACTGATAAAATGTTATTCAATAAGAATTTACTCTGATCTCGCAAGGACCAAGGCTTCACAATAGCCAAAGATCTAGGCGTCATACAAGAGCTAGGCACCCCAATCAAGCTCTTGGCTCTTTATCAAGATAAGCCCAAGGGTCAACAGATGGTCAGATCCTCATAGTGCGACTCGACCATCATGCCGAATATCAAGCCCTTTTCTCCTTATCAAGATAAGCTCAAGGCACAACAACTTTTCAGTCGAATATCAAGCCATTAGTTCTTTATCAAGGTAGGCCCAAGGCACAAGTTATGGTCGATTCCTCCGGCCCTCATCGATCATCATGGACAAGCCCTTGGTACCTTATCAGGAATAAATCCAAGGCACAACCCTTCGGCCGACTCCTATAGTCATCTCTCAGTCTTAGGGGAAAAAAAGATCTAGTCAACTCTCAAGAGTTCTAGGCATTTCGACTCCTAAGTCGAATATCAAGCTCTTAGCTCTTTATCAAGATAAGCCCAAGGCACAACGACTCCTCAATCGAATATCAAGTCCTTGGCTCTTTATCAAGATAAGCCCAAGGCACGACGACTCCTCAGTCGAATATCAAGCCCTTGGCTCTTTATCAAGGCAAGCCCAAGGCCCAACCTTATGGTCGACCCCCACAATCACTACTCAACCTTACAGGGATTATAAAGACCTAAGCATCCAACCTCAGAGTTGCTATTCTGCCAAAAAGGTATTCATAAACCTAAGGTACGAATATTAAGCGTATGGTTAAAAGCTTAAGCAGTCATCTGTCAAGTTCTGGTCAGTTAAACGCTCAGCCAAAATAAGACATCAAGTAAACTAGTTGTCATAAGTCCCCAGTACGGGTCGACACATTACAACTAACTCACTTCGGCCAATATCTCAAATGAGAACGAAGCTACAAAGCTAAAAGAATGTAAATAATGAAGGCAAGCTCAAGAATGAAGACAAAAGTTAATTTTCATTCAATAAGAGTAAACTTCATTACAAACTCTTTTACAACAAAAAAGAGAAAAGAAAAAATTGAAAGATACAGATCTTCAAAGCCCTCGACTAGACTCGGGAGTTGGACTTGGCGGACTCCTGGTAGCAGTAAGGGTAGAAGATTCCCCAAAGGCCCCAGCAACATGCTCGACCTCATCAACATTCGCTGACAAATCCAACCCGCCTCCAATTTTCTCGACATCTTTCAGCAAGTCGAGACAACAAGAGACGCATGAAGGATAGAAGCGATCTGGAATCGGATGAGAGTCGCGAGGCACCAAGGAGGCGAAGTAATCAACTCCAGCTTTACAAGCTAAGGCTACTTCAGCCCTCCCTATAGGGCCGTGACGCTAGTCGTCAACTACCTTCTTTCTATGCTGCTCTGAGTCCAGACGAGCAAGTTGATCCTTCAGTTTATCGGCAATGACTATGGATGCCTGCAGCTTTGATTGTAGCTCTTCAAAGTTCCCCCTCATCTTTTCAAGAGATAGGCGATTTGTTCGAGCCTCTGCCTCAGCCATCGTCCTACGACGCTTCTCGGACTCGGCCTCCACCTGTAGGTGAACCATCTCCCTTTGAAGGTCCTCGATGGTCCCCGTTTGCTTGGAGAACTGGATTCGAAAGCTCTTTTTACCAAGACAGCGACTCTCTTTTCTGTCTCTTCCTTGGCCGACTTCTCCTTAGCCAGCTCTGCTTGGTCTTCTTGGGAACGCTCAAGTCGATTGAACAAGGCGTGTCCTAGCGAAGTCCCCTGAGCTAGACAAGCTTGAAGAGCTTGGAGTATGCCAACACTTGGCATATCATCCAAAATCCTCCCGTCAGCATCATTCTCCATCTGTTCTGACGGAGTTCCAGCCCTTCCATCAACGACGTCGTTCGCCCCATTTGGTTTCTTGTCAGGGCGACGAGATGTCTCAGGATTAGTACTGGGGCCGACAACATCCTCCTCGACCACTGGGCCGTAGTCTCCCTACCAGGAGAAGACTCGTCTATCAGCCCCACATTTTCCAAGCGGTTAAGCTGAGTTATCAGCGGACCCATCCCAACTGGTCTAACTAGGCGCCGCCTCTTAACCCTTGCCCCTCTCCTTAATTCAGAGGCAATGTTTGCTGCTTGAGGCATCAAGACAGCCACCTCCTCTGCACTAAAAGACCCTATAGGCTTCTTATAGGGCCTAGCAGTAGGGTTCACCCCCTCGGTCCCAGTGTTCCTCTTGCGATTTTCCACTAACAGAGGAACATAGCTCGTCCTTACCTCGAAGTCAGTGGAAGATAAAATCATGAACATGCTCGCCGTCCGGGAGAACACATCAACAAATAAAGCATCGCTCTCTCGGGGACTGGCATAAGAACGGGTCATTTCCAGATCCATCATCTCGGAGTCACTAAGGGTAACTGGCATCAAAACGTCTTCATTCACCTCCGGCCAGTCCGAGCAAGCGAAGACGCTATCGCCGCCATAGACCAACATGAATCGCTTCCTCCAGTCCTCATCTAACTCCAAAGAGTCGGAAACAAGCAGGAACTCTCCACGATAGTGGAAAGAGTAATGTGGGTCCTTCTTAGCTGACCCATACTGATCAAATGCCCAAGCACTCTCAAGCTTGGTTGGACTCCAACACGATGGCAGATGATGATAAAAGCCACCAGAATTCCCAAGAGTATGTGACCACTAGTTTGAATAGACGAAAGCAAAAATACCATCATAAAGTACTATGAAGCAACCCAAGAGTATGTGACCACTAGTTTGAATAGACGAAAGCAAAAATACCATCATAAAGTACTATGAAGCAAAATGCAACCCTCTCCTGAATAGACGAAAGCAAAAATACCATCATAAAGTACTATGAAGCAAAATGCAACCCTCTCCTTCTCGCAAAAAATAGATTGGATAACATAGGTTTATAATGCAAACAACAGAAAATTGAAGTCAATAAGTATGCCTAGTGCATTAGACATGTAAAGTTTTCAATTCAATCAGTTTGTAAGATCAAAAGAAACCAATTTGAATATGCTACATACATGTTTGAGATATATTAACTTATATCCAAGACAAATCATCAGAGAATCCATTTTGGGTTAGAAGACTACCCGTGCCATATTGTCAGTCACGACACAGTATAAAGATAACTATAAAAAGAACATCAGCATAACAAAACTTATAGAAGATAAGAAAAGTGATAAACAAATCTCCACGGGTGTACAAAATGAGTATTAAAAATATAGCTAGCTATATTCTGAAGATTTATATCGAATATAAAGTACAGGAAAAAACTCAACAATATCCAAAGTAGCATAACCTAATATAAACACCATTATAACAGAATACTTTGTTGTTCAGTTTTCATCATATGGATGGGGATGTTTACAAAGTCATACGGGTGTTAATGCAGAAGGTAGTGTAGGGTGGGGTCTTACACTGAGACCCCATCCTTGTTCTTGGGTGTTAATGCAGAAGGTAGTGTAGGGTGGGGTCTTACACTGAGACCCCATCCTTGTTCTTAAAAAAATTAATGCAGACCAAATCTACTAATGCGGACCACAACAGACATACACAACAGAAGTGCACAACAATAAGGTTCAAACTCCAACATAAACATTGTACAGCAAGTCATAATGCATATTAACAGGATAATATCGAGTAAGTGACAAACTTGCATTAATTGCTTACTTATTCTTGTTGTATGGCACAGTTAAGAGCATAACAAATTGCATGATGGCAAGATATCTTAAGACTACATGCAAGAGCTACACTTAAATAATCAGAAAGATAGGCGATTAATTTCTCTTATCAAATATCAAATAAGTTATCACTATCAAACTCCTAGAATTCCAACGAATCTCTCTGTTTTTAGTTTCAGCATCCTCGACTCTGGTTCTTAAGGTTTTTAACTTTTTCCTCTAAATGCAGTCCAGTAAAAATACCTAACTAAACTAGAGAACCAAACTCATATGTGAACTTGATTTCTTCTAGTCTAGATTAAGAAGTAATTCTAGAACTGATACAAGAAGCGCTAGAAATCATTACAAAATTATACAACCTATAGGCTATATGATATCCCTCTCTGTGATCTAAGAACAGACTCCCAAGGTCATCCCTTAACCAAAGACACCATGTCTGCTCTCATGTCTCTTGAAAAATACGATTTGGGCTCTTCAGATTTGGAGAAGAAAGGGTTATACATAGAGATGAAAGAAAGGAGAAACTTGTGCATATGCTTTGTGAAAAATTGAAGTTGTGGGTATTCCAAAATCTAAGTTTTCAACCTAAGACAGATCAACATGAAACATTATATAGCAAAGAATTGAACAATAACACTTTTAACTAACATCTAAAAGTGGGGGAAAAAAGAGCTTGAAACTCTAATATGATACAAACTACTAGACTCAAATATATACAAATTAAAAAGTTCTCTAACACTAATATTGGCATAAGCTATCGATCAATCCTTCATATACTATCTACTATATAAAGCAATATGTCAAAAGAAAATGCTATGCTGTTCTAGGCATGAAGAAAAGCACCTAGCATCTAGGCTTCCTACATCTGCTGCGGCAATCACATAGCTGAAATGTGTTGAATACTAGATTGGTTAAGCTGACACCTAAGTGGATTCCTAGGCCCTTTTACAACATTAATGATTATCTCTCTCGCGTGTTGCATCTAGAAGGTGTCACCGTCAGGTCCTTTGTGGGGGGGGGGGGGGGGCAACCCTTTACTTATAGAATGTACTGTATATTTCAGTGCGCAGGCAGCAGATTATGTGGTCATTTCCAAAACAAAAACGCTTACGTTTGCATTTTTGTGTGGCATGAATCCCCATTGAAATGGTTCAACAAATCTCTGATTGATGGATATCTCATATGAACATACCCTGTTTTGCTTCAGCCAGATGTCTGCACTCTCCTGCATTTTCAAAATTAGGTTGGCATAATATTATGAGATGCCAGGTTGGAGTACCTGAGAGTCAAGATGCAAACTGAAAACCTACAATTCCATTGAATCACAACCTTCAAATTTGACTTTGGGCCTCCTTTCTATAGGATCTTGGCATCAAATACCAAGCCAATAATCTTGCAAGAGATCACCTTATTATTCGGACTTCCATACTCGACTTAAATTAACTCTGCTGCCTCACTGAGATTCTAAGCTGATGCTCATTGATTCTTGTAATAATTCTAAGTTTTTTTGGCTAGATATATATAAGGAAAAGTAAAGGGGCTTTTATGAAAATTTGTTAGAGGGTTTTATTAGTAAAAAAGGCTCTTATTTAGTGAAAACCCTACCCAACTCCTTTATTTCTTCACCTCCTTTCCGACTTTGTACCGCCGCTCTCAACGCCGCTCTCAAAAAAAAAAAAAAAACCTTAGGCTTCTCTCTCTTCTTCCTTCCGTCCGTTTCTGTCGCACACACAGAAATAAAAGAAAAGGATCTGCATTGAAGGAGGATAAGTGGTGATTGTTTACACAAATATAATAGATATTGTTCTTTTTGGATGAATGCTATGCAACCGATTTTTATGAGTTTTTTTTAGATCTTATTATATATGATGTTGACACTAGGTAGCTGCCCTTGTTCTCATGGCCATGGACAAGTCTTGAGCCTAGTGCATCCCTTGGTCACCTCCTTTATATTAAAAAAATAAAAAAAAATAATAGTAATAATAAATTAGCCATTGTGACAACCTACATGTACCTATTTCTATGTCATTGCATATTTTATTATTGGAAAACTCTTAAAGGACCCAAAAAAATGGGACAGGAGAGGGGACAGGTGAGGTGTCCCCTCCCCATTGCTCCATGCACTGTTCATGAACAGTGCATGGAGCAATGGGGAGGGGACACCTCACCTGTCCCCTCCCCTGTCCCATTTTTTGGGGTCCTGCTAGCATTGCTCTTTATTATTCTATAGGAGGAAAGCCAAGAAACATCTAGTGTACTAAAGTAGTAGTATATAATATGGTTTTATAGGATGGAGCTTAATGTGTTATATTATTCAGTATAGTTGTATTAATGTTTACTATATCTATTCTTTAGGAGTTTCAGGTGGCTTCGAAGAGACGTCGTGACTAGTATTTCGATAGTTTTCGGACTTGATATAAGTGGTAAATTTATGCATTGCGCATTGTGTATTTTTTCTACAAAATGATAGTAAGTTGTTGATGCTCGTGAACAAACAGTCGATGGGGGTTGTCTGCCATAGGATGCAACTTTGATCCTGACGGCGCTGAGGAGAAGGGAGATGATGGATGTTGGTGCCGACTGCCATAGGATGCAACTTTGATCCTGACGGCGCTGAGGAGAAGGGAGATGATGGATGTTGGTGCCGACTCCTCCGACTTTACGCCGGATTCTGAGCGCACGGGGTGGGCTGATGACCTGCACATGCAAGAATCGCAGGAGTACGAGACTAGTTTTCCCAATGGTACCTTCGACGGTCAAGTCAGCTGTGGAGTTGAGTGTGGTTTGGGGGAAGATCCTCGGGCCATTGAGGTCCTCGGAGCGTACTCTTTTGAGAGTTTTCTAGTTCTTTTTTAACCAAGGTAGGTCCCTAGTTTTTATGAAGAAGAAGTAGCCAAGCCAAAGAATCACTTACCCCCTGCGTTTCTCTTTTCTCCTCCTTTTATAGTCCCTTGCCTCTGAGTGTGTTGTCCCTCGACTTTGGTCATACACAGGAGGCGGCTGAGAGGTGAGCAATAGAGGTGCAGAGTCATCATTCTCTTTTCAGATGTCGACTGACGACTGGAAGGGAAGTCATTCGAATACAGGAGAGAAACGACTTATCTGTATCCTGGATTTGATAGAAGAGGTAGGGCGTATGATAGGTCGGCTGTGTGGCCGTCCTTCTTTCTCCAGGTGGCGCTGGTGATTGGAGAAGTCATTCGTGCACAGGGAAGCATCATGGCAAACTTCTGGGAAATGACTTGTGAGCAAAATAAGCGGCTTGGGCACGAGGTTTGTCAGAACGGAGATCTTGATGGGACTAATCAACACTATTTCCGATTGACATCTGAAGTGAACTTGGTCGGCTCTTATCCCTTTAGTCAAGACGGGTTGATCCGTGAGCCATCATTATGGTTTGGCAACCCGATAGTCGAGTGAGCTTCGGGTCGGGTGTATAGTCGAGTCGTCTGCTCGAGGAGTCGCCTTAATTGCGAGGGGACGACTGATCCTGCACTTCGAGTCGGTCATGATGACCCTTGATCGAAATATGGCTTGTCCGCTCGTCTGGTTGAGAAACTTGACCTTGGCTGAGCTTATGAGCCTCTAAGTTTGTTTGAATCATAGCTTTCTTGGGCTTATGCAGACATTCTCGCGACACATCTATCTTTGGATGGTAAATTACCATAGCAGTTGGCCCCTTTCATTCAGAGTTGGCTTTAGTCGAGTCCGAGTGAAATAGATAAAAGCTTGCTCCATATCTTAGGGATTTCTTAGCTAGTTGATCGTGGATGGAGACGTGACGTAGGCCTAGCTAACCGCCAATCTCTGTAAGCTGATGATCGATACCGGGAACCACTTTTTTGAAGGAAACGAGGCGTCATGGGTAGAGTGAAAGGCGCCATACTCGCCAATTGATTGGTGAGTTACAAGTGGCGATTGGTTTTCCTGAGCGATTCATTTCCGATCTCCAAAATGGATCTTCCTTAATTGCTCCAGGATGGTGCCTCTTGAATTCTTCTGCATGCGCCTTTGGAGACTTATAAATAGTTCCTGGCGAGGAAGAGCCAAGGGCTTTGTTCCGACTGAGAAGTCGTTTTACCTTGGACTTATTCTTTAGAAAGAGCCAAGGGCTTTGTCCCGACTGAGAAGTCGTTTTGTCTTGGACTTGTTCTTTAGGAAGAGCCAAGGGCTTTGTTCCGACAGAGAAGTCGTTTTGCATTGGTTTTACCCAGATTAGGTATCAAGGGCTTTGAACCGACTGAGAAGTCATTGTGCTTAGGTGACTAGGTCTTGGTGCCGACTGAGAAGTCGTTTTGCCTTAGACTTGTTCTTTAGGAAGAGCCAAGGGCTTTGTTCCGACTGGGAAGTCGTTTTGCCTTGGTTTTACCCAGATTAGTTACCAAGGGCTTTGAGCTTCTATGGTCGATGAGAGCAGGCAAAATCGAACCATATGTTGTGCATTGGGATTAACTTTAAGAAGAGCCAAGAGTTTTGTTCCGACTAAGGAGTCATTGTGCATTGGTTTTATCCTGAGAAGGTACCAAGGTCTTGATCACTATGGACGATAAGAGCAGAAGGAATCGAACCATATGTTATGCCTTGGGCTTACCTTTAAAAAGAGCCAAGGGCTTTATTCCGACTGAGAAGTCGTTTTGCATTGGTTTTACCCAGATTAGGTACCAAGGGCTTTGAGCCAACTGAGAAATCGTTTTGCCTTGGACTTATACTTTAGGAAGAACTAAGGATTTTGTCCCGACTGAGAAGTCGTTACGCCTCGGGCTTACTCAGATTAGGGGCTGAGGACTTTATACCGACTAAGGAGTCGTTGCGCCTTGGGCTTACCCAGATTAGGGGTCGAGAACTTTATGTCGACTAAGTAGTCGTTGCGTCTCGGGCTTACCCAGATTAGGGTCCGAGGACTTTATGTCGACTAAGGAGTCGTTGCACCTCAAGCTTACCCAGATTAGGAACCGAGGACTTTATGCCGACTAAGGAGTCGTTGTGCCTTGGGCCTGTCATGAGGCGACACCAGAGCCTTGTAACCGACTGAGGAATCATGGCACCTTGGGCCTGTCCTAAGGCGGCACCAGGGTCTTGTGATCGACTAAGGAGTCGTTGCGCCTCGGGCTTATCCAGATTAGGAGCCGAGGACTTTATACCGACTAAGGAGTCGTTGCTCCTTGGGCTTGTCCTGAGGCGGTACCAGGGCATTGTGACCGACTGAGGAGTCGTGGTACCTTGGGCCTATCCTGAGGCGGCACCAAGGTCTTGTGACCGACTAAGGAGTCGTTGCGCCTCGGGCTTTATCCAGATTAGGAGCCGAGGATTTTATGCCGACTAAGGAGTCGGTGTGCCTTGGGCCTATCGTGAGGCAGCATCAGAACCTTGTGACCGATTGAGGAGTCGTGACACCTTGGGCTTGTCCTGAGGTAGCACCAAGGTCTTGTGACCGACTGAGAAGTCGTTGCGTCTCGGGCTTACCCAGATTAGGAGCCGAGGATTTTATGCTGACTAAGGAGTCATTGCGCCTTAGGCCTGTCCTGAGGCGGCACTAGGGCATTATGACCGACTGAGAAGTCGTGGCACCTTAGGCCTGTCCTGAGGTGGCACTAGGGTCTTGTGACCGACTGAGGAGTCTTTGCGCCTCGGGCTTACCCAGATTAGGAGCCGAGGACTTGCATTTTCCCCTAGGGCTGAGAGTCGACTATAGGAATCAGTAAAAAGGATTGTGCCTTGGTTTTACCCTGAGGAAGTACCAAGGACTTTTATCGACTTAGCCGAGTGGCCAGCTGACTGGGTCTTTGATGTCTTTCTTTTTATTTTTGACATTTCCATTGCTTATTGGAATTTACACATGATAGAGTACAACTCATTCACATTTATTCCATCGAGCCGCATCGAATTCGTGTTTCTTCCCCAAATGCCTTTTGAAGATGGCTTTTGCCGGAGACGGGGTCACCGAGGCGGAGCTTCCTTAGCTGTTTCTTTTCACCTGTGAACATTCCTGCCTTGATGAGAGCGAGTTGTTGCTTCATTGCCTGTCTTTGTTGCCAAACTGAGGAGCGCCCGGAATCAGTGATTGCTCTTCCTCCCGAGAGTGAGGTGTTTGGATTTGGGCGTCGTTGAGTTGTTGGCATATTTTCCATTTCATCAGCTAAGGACCTGCTTGGAGTTTTTACTGAGATCCTTGCAGGTCAACGGTGGACATGACGATTTTCAACCGATCTTGCTTGTCCACCGTTAGTTGCGCTATATGGCCGAAGTCTAGTTGGTTGAGCTTTTGGAGGATAGTGCTCAACAGGAGGAGGCCCAGACAACTCTTGTGATGGGGGCTTCTTGTTGGTGAGAGCCCCATGCGCCGAAGCTTTGTTCCCTGGAATTTGATGGGATCATGACTTTCCCTTAGGGGTTTCCAGGGATAGCGACAGCCGGACCATCCTATAAATGGGGGAGCTTTCTTTTGTTAGGGGGATGCGAGTCACATGTTTCGACCTGCAAG